AAATAGATTACAATACCATTGAAGAACTTAATGATGTCTGTGAAGTCCATTTTGTTGTCCAAAATGATATCCCTGTAAGACAAGAAGGTAAGATTAAGAGTTTCTCATCACATCAAAACAGTTCTTTTCATACTGAGACAGTGAGATATGTTTGATATTGATGTCTACCATTAAATAAAAGTTACTCTTGTATTTTTTTAAACGAGAGTTAGCCAACTCATCTTTAGTAACATCTCCTTGTGGATTCGCTTGCCTTTTGAAACTTCCGTAAAAACGTCCGTACCAAAGGAAACGGTCAAAAATCAGTTTTTCCTTTACCTGTAAAATTGAAGCAGTGCGAGGGCGATAAAAAGAACAAAGTGTTCTGAGGCAAGGTGCCTAGCTGCCCAGATGATTTCCCACACTACAAACACGTCTTCATAGAGAAGTTCTGTAAAAATATGAACACGAAAGCAAACCATCATAACTAAACTGTTATGATTCACTTGACGTCCGTATGTTTGTGCCTGTCTATCTGCCTTTCCATCTATCTTCTTGCGTACTACTGTAAGTCAGTCAGTCTATCGGTGTCTCCCCGCCTGCATGCATGTCGATCTGTCTATCTGTTTGTATCTACGCACATAACTCCGTCTGTATGTCTATTGTACTATGTCAGGATGTGTGACCACAAACCTCGTTTGAAGTCAAGAAGGAACCATCTGTAGCAGAAGTAGAAATGCGTGAGGTCGCCATTTTGCTGAAGATGTTCGAACATTTCAGGGTCGAGAATCTGCAAACAGTGAGTCAAAAACTTAATAACTCCATGTACATGGTAAAAAAGCGTTGATATGATATTACTAACGTAAGCTGCTCCAATGCATAATCGCTAAAATGCAGGAGTTTTCATCGCTCTTTTATCACTTGGATCGAATGAATCATTTAGGTACGTACTTGGATCAAAGATCTCATGTTTGCAAAATGCGTGTCCATAGCTCCACCGTGTGGGAAGTTACTGTTCATTCTCTGCATGAGATCCACGAAACAGCTGTAGGTTATCGCCTCTGAGAAAAGAAGAGAAACACCTTTACAGTCGCGGAAACGACAAAAGATAACTCACTAATAAACAAGGAGGACATGAGAAGTGTTTACAACCCTCCATTCTTTTTTGGTCGTTCTGCATGAGTGCAGCAACTTACCATTGTCAAAGACGACAAGCAAAGGGGCCACGAGATCACACATCCCTTGAACGTAACCAACATCCAAGGTCTTCCACACGTAACTGCAAGTAAAAACATTACAGAATCAAACGCGAAAATCACCAACACGAGTCATGATACATCCTTCACTTGACTCGGAAGATGACTTTTACTCAGGCACTCCAAGCGTCAGTCGCTAGGTCCGCGGACGGATCAATGTCAGTGACTGAGCAACCACGCACCTACCCCTTCCCTAACCCGGCATTAACCCTAAGTTGTTATCAGTTGACTGTTGCGGGGTTAGGGGAGGAGTAGGTGTGGAGTTGCTCAGATACTAACATTGATCCGCTCGGACACTCAACGGTAACCCATTGAAGAAAAGTGTCGATTTTGTAACCAAGCCTTACCTGCTAATGACGTTTCTTAGTTTATCAAGGTTTTCGTGAGTAAAGTAAGGATAATTTCTATCACATCTCAGAACATCTTTCTCGATTCGATGAAGATTTAAACCAAAGTCATCAAGGAGATCAGTCTGGGAGAATAATCGGGCAAATCATTGAAGATCAGTAATAACAACTATGAGCAAAGACATCGTTTCTCACAAAGTTGTTTAAATGATTATAGTATTGCACACGTGCGTTTCTTAACAGGTGTTCTTGTTCTTATAGTATCTAAGGGGGGGTACAGTGAGCCTTCAAAAGTCGATCGAAGGAAAAGTTAAAATAGCATTGAATCTGGACCTTGGTAAGTTCTGCTAAAAATCACAAAAAGGCTAGCCAAACATAACTCAGTGCCTCCCAGTTTTCACAGCATGAAGCAGTTGAAGGGAGGAATTCTTTTATGCACGGTACCTTCACTTCAAGTTTGTAACGTTTCCTAAAAATTCCCCTTCATATTCAGTGATACTCCTTGGTGAAGACGAGAAGCAGACAGTGTAATCAAGTCTAAATTATGTAGGAAAGCGCCAAAACAAGCTACATAAACACCTAGATCTGACTATGGACACCTACCACTGATCTCAAGTATCTTGAAAAAGATAGCTACTCACCGAGTATGGACACGATGCTCTAGACCCAATGCTTCCCTGGCTACATTGTTTACAAAGGACTGGGACCTCCGTGTCCGTGTCGTGACTGGTCTGCTGTGACTCCTCCCGCGCGTTGGTGTCACTGTACGTGGAATCATGGCCATTTGGAACGTGACCTGTCCCGTGACTGTTCATTTCCACAGCAGAATGAAATCTCTTGCTACACCGCTGGCATGTTCTTGACATTGACATGAACTTGCCATTGTCTTCCCCACAGTCGCTACAACACCCACTTTCGGCATCATCGCCATTTTTCGCTGGAATAATAAGCTGTCCATTCATTAACCTGGCTTTTGCAGCCTCATCAAGTCCTTCAATCTCGGGTTCCTCGATACTGACCCTCTGACGATTAAAATTCTCTGATTTTTCTAAGCCGCTACTGATCATTTCCAACTGTTCAAAGACTTCATCTCTACTGCCTGTGCTGTCCATAGAGATACCATCCATTTCTTGTTCTTTCTCGTGCTGTCGAATCACACTCTCTACTTCTTTCCATTCCTCCATGATGGAACGAAATTCTTCGTTAGCAGCCTTGTCAGTTGCCTGACGATCTTTAGGTGTGCTTCCAAATTTGTAGTGTCCCAGTAAATAAGGCCACACCTTAAGGAAAGATGTCACATAAAATACCTTCTCAGGCAAAAACATTCTCATGCTCGCTGGTTAGCAGTGATTAAATTTACCAAGTTGATGATCTTACCTCTTTTCTGATGGAGTGTTCTACTCCGCCGAAGTAGACATACTTCTTAACTTTATCCTCGTCATTAACCTGGAAGATGATCAGTTGATAAGAAAAATTGCAATCACTTTTGCAGCTACGGCTCCGGCTTGAGAAGTGGTCCCCAGGTAACTACATGTGAAGCTCACAATGCATCGAGACAAGCTAGGTATTTTTTTTCTCATACAGCTACTTGTTCATGCTATGTCTCTTTCGCAACCGTCGTTTTGACACGTCATGCAACGCGCTTATGAGCTAACAAAGGTTCCTTCAAGGAAACCAGTGACCAAAGCATATCTAAATAAGCATAGGATAAAAGTTTAAACCAAAAATGCGTAACACTGTGTAGCTAATCACTTAACAAGAAACCTGAATTTCTTGGAAAAGAAGAGGGAAAGATAGAAACATAGACTAATGACTATTCATTTCTCTCATCATCCAGCCACTGGTGTGTTTATCTCACCTTTAGCCAGTAAGCCACGAGAAACAATCAGCGGCAGCTAATGGGCTCCGCAGCGCTTATTAAAACTCGTTTACAGGCTATCTCGCTTCATGCAAACGACTAAACTTCCTGGTAACATCTGCCTAAAGCGCTGTGGCATGACCGGCGAAGCCGCGAGAGACGAGGTAGCTGGCGTAAGGAGCCGGCGAAGGGCCTGGCGCGGAAATCGCTCCCGTCGCCGTCTTCCAAACGAAGCCGACTTCTCTCGCCGCTCCTCCACTCGTACCAGAGCCTGCTCAGTTCTAACGAAAAAGATTTTACCTTTCCATTACTGCACATGCTTCTCCATGTTTGTTCAGTAAGTCCCTGGGCGTAATCGACTCCGTTCTCTTCGGAATTGGTGTTGCTGTGATTAACTAGCCATAACAAATGCGTTCTAACTGTTTTGAGGTGGCGCACGTACGAAAACCCTGATGAAAAAGCATGAACACTTATTAAGCACATAAAACACTTCAGGAGTTTTAATATCACTTGGAATCTACATAATCAAGGTTAACTTACATCCATTGAAAGCTCGTAAAGTGATTTGTCGTCTCATAGTTTCGCATGCAGTGCTGAGACATTCCCTAGTAAACAAAACCGCACACAGGAAAATTATTATTACTATCATCATCATCGTCATCATCATTATTATTATCATCAACATCAACATCGTTATCAACATCATGTCATCGTCAAGGTCATCATCATCACCATCATGATTATTTTTACCGTCTGCGTCACCATAACGTCATCATTACCGTCATAGTCATCGTCATCGTCATCGAAGTCGTCACCGACATCGTCATCGTCATCATGACCGTCATCGTCGTCATTGTGATTACAGGGTGAGAGACGCGTTGGCGCTGAACTCAGAACTCTTAACTTTTGAGAGGTTCAGGATTCAAGCGCTGCCTAAGTCATTGTCGTGTGTTGTTGAGGAAGACATTTCCTTTCTGATAGAGCTTCTCTTCAACCAAGAGTATAAATGACTGCCGGTGAGCTGTCGGGGAAACCTGATGAAATGCCAAGAACTACTTGCCATGGATTGTCATATGTCTGGAGGGGACGGGAGGGGACGGG